GCAAACAAAACCACTTTCACTAAATCCGAAACCTTGCATATATCATTAATGTATAATATAAATAATTTAGGTCCCAAAACAGAACCCTGAGGCACTCCACATACAATGTCCAGCTCACTCGATTGGTATTCACCCAACTTCACAAATTGACGCCTCTGTGTCAAATAACTTCTAATCCATTTCAGAACCATTCCTCTGATCCCATATTTTTCTAACTTGTCCATTAATAATTCATGATTGATTGTGTCAAATGCTTTTTTTAGGTCAATAAATATCCCCATCATGTATTTCTTCTCATCCATAGCATTTGTAATGTCCTCCATCAGGTTGGTAATGGCCATGTTCATGGTTAATTGTGCAATGGGGTATTTTTTCCCTTGACTTTCTCTTCTCTGCTCACGAGTCCTCTTTGACCTCTAAGCTGCTTGCCCTGTCATGTCTTTCTTCCTTTAGATTTCTACTCTACCCTTATTAAACTGGAAGAAGTGCAGGCATGAAGCTGGGGAACTGGAGACACACTGGAAGCCCAAAATTAGTGGCTGACTGACAGGGTTTGCTCTGAAAGCAATTACAACCATGGGCTCCCCTGGGAAGTGTATAAACAGGATCATACTGATGAGTTTAGAGTCAGTGTGTGGGTGGTAACTGACTGGGACTGGAACCAGAGACTGCTGCTGCTTCTCCTAATGCTATGACTTTGTGTGATCTAGTCAACATCACATTAGTTCAGTGAATTGTCTCATAAGGCTTAACCTATTGCTTTTTTAGATTGTGTGCTAATGCAGGAAAGTGTATTGCTTACAAGGTTATGGATTATTAATCAAGGTAGACAAGCCTCTTCACATGAAAAGGTGCAAACTGAACGTATCTGTGGGAGTCGCAAGTGTTCAAGTGCTAGTTGGTGCACACATTAAAGGACCGCTGTGTTAATTCAAGGCTGATTATTGGTGAAATTTATATTACAAGTTACATGGACCTATTATTTATTAGATTACTCTCATTAGTCATTTATTCATTCATTCAATAGTCCTTGAGTTGCCTGCAATCTGAAATATTCTCTATTTGATTCTGAGGGCTCATCTCACTGTGACATGGGGTCTATAAGTCGTTATTTCCCAGCATCATCAAGCTGTCAGACGCCCAAGAACTGGTGCTGGAGCTTCAGCATCACTGTCAAAGACACTTTTATTATTTCACAGGCACTTTAAACTATGACACCAGCAGTGCAACCTTCAGTTGTCTCTTACTAATTTAACACATCACCCACAGACTATTAAAATGATTAGAAGTTGCTTGGGAGTTAGTTTTCTGACAGGGCTGAGGGGAAAATGCGTTCTGATTTATGTAGAAGAAAGAAAGCAGGTAAAAGGACAGGGATTTTTTCCCAGCAAAGACAGGGAGGGTGTGTTTGTGCAGTGGAGCATGTAATTTCCTTCAGCCTACCTGTTATTGAGGGTGGGGTCTGCACACAGAGAGTGCAAACACACTTGCATGCACTGGACAGTGTGCTGGGGAATGAAAATACCTGTTCCTTTATGCATAGGGACTGTGAGGTTCTATGTGTGTGTGTGTGTTTACATATTTATTACATTGTGTGGACACATGCTTGTTCAATGCCATTGTTGTAAGGACATTTTGTCACTATGAGAACATTTTGGCCAGCCCTGACAAGTTCAAAGGGGTTTTTGAGAAATAAATAGGAAAATTCTGTAAAACTGAGCTTTAAAATAAAAATACCGGGGAAGGGTTGGGTTTAGACAGTTGTGATGGTTAAAGTTAGAATAAGGGACTGGGGAATGCAATATGTCATTGAGCGCCCCCACAAACATAGCAAATATGAATAAACAGGATTACAACTGGTTGTGGACCTAGACATTTTTCTTCTCTTGCCAGGGAAACATGATCGCATTGCATACTGTATCTTGGGTCGCATTGAGCTCTGCACATTTAAGGACATCTCCAGATGCCACCTACACACATTTACTGTATATACACACATAGATAGTGTGAGAGTAATAGCAGCAGGAACAGTTCATCCATGGTGCTGGTAATACCACCTGTATGTATACACACACTCACAGACACACACACACATTCCCACCTCAGAACCTGATGAGGTGTGAAGCTCAGAGCACAGTTCAGAATGCTAGTGGAGATCTATTAGGGTTGGGAATAATTCATGTGAAGAGTTTCTGTCAATCTGAGCCTGCCTTTTTCAACTCTGAAAACCTGATTGGACACAACAACATGAATACCCAATCAATCCAGTACAACAACCTGCAATACATACAACCTTTATACTGTAAAGCTTATGTACTGTATATGAACTATCTTCCCAGTGAACTGGATGTTCTTTATGGGAGCACCACTACGTTCCTTGTTTTCTGGAAGTGAATGTTGGTCTGAGGCTGTGTTTGACTGAATAAATATTGTAGTGGATGTGACTACACTTTATGAATATGAATTTTTATATTTTAATACTTTGTTACAATAGGACACAAGCCTTAATTACACTAGCCAAGCGAAGTATGAGTTATTGGTCTAAACAATTTATTCAGTCTCTATCTGAATGCAGTGAATTCTGCAGTTCATTGACCTATTTACTGGAAATAAAAGAGATGATATGACAGATAGCCAGTTTTAGTCTAAATAAATGTATTTACAAAATGCAATGAAATGGTACTAAAGATGGAATCAATAGACTGCTGGAGGAATGGCTGTCTTTTGTTAGCAGTGGTGGAAGAATGAGTTACAGTTGTCTAAAGCTAAAGTTAAGATACATTTTGGATCTAAATTATGGGGTTTAGTCATGAATCTGCAACACATTCCACAAAAAGTTGGGACAGTAAAGCGTTTTCCATGGTGTGATGTTGCCATTTCTTTTCACAACACTTAAAAGACGTTTAGGGACTGAGGACACCAAGAAATTTTATCTGTAAATCAGGTGTCATTTTGTTCCATTCTCCTGCAAATAAGTCTTAAGGTGTACAAGATTCCTGGGTTGTAATTGCCACAATTTGCATTTCAAAATGTGCCACACATTCTCTATTGGGGACAGGTGGGGACTGCAGGCAGGCCAGTCCGGCACTTGCACCTTTTTTCTCCACAGCCAGGCCTTGGTAATGTGCAGTATGAGGTTTTGCATTGTCTTGTGGAAATATGTGTGGTCATCTCTGGAAAAGATGTCAGCTTGAAGGCAGCATATGTTGCTCCAAGGGAAGTGTTCAAGCCACATGCATTGTATGCATGTCAATGATTCGGACAGAAAGAATGACAATTTTTTGTTAGTTTGTTTTGTTTTGTTTTGGTTTGGTTTAGTTTTTTTGTGTTAATACACACTGTTAGTGTGTATTTACCCTGAGCAGTCAGTGTTCAAGCTGTTATCCCTTTGTCTCTCTATGTTGATGTAACAGATTCATTAAGCCCCACCAAACACTCTCATTTTGAAACATTTTCAACTCATGCAGATGCATTAATTTCCTCTGTCTCACACAAATTTGCATTTGCTTACATCTTTATGCAAATGCATTGCCATACACTCCATCTGAACACATGGATATACAGCTTTTGACATCCTTAACCAGTGTCACACTGTATAAAAATAGAATAGACTGTGCAAAGAAAATTTACAGTAAATGTTTGACAAACTCTATTTAGGATCACATTTGCATTTTGTATTCATCATTCTCTGACATCAGTGCTATGATGTGTGTCTGACTGCTGACCTTTCACTTCCACAGCCTCTGAAGATGCACTGCACAACCTGTGCCCTGGTGACCAGCTCCGGCCAGCTGACTGGGGGCAAGAGGGGTGAAGAAATCGACCGCTCGGAGTGTGTCATCCGTATGAATGATGCTCCCAGCGTAGACTATCAGCAGGATGTTGGCTGGCGCACGAGCCTGCGTGTCATAGCTCATTCCAGCCTGCAGAGAGGACTGCGGAGGCGCCAGGAGCTGCCA